ACGGTAAAATCATCTTTCAGTTCTGATGGATCCATGCTGTGCTTTGCAAAATGATTATTCATATTTTAAGCTTTCATGCATTTTTGAAGGATTGTATAAGGCAACCCCGGCTTCACAGCAGAAGTTGTTTTTGATGTGAAAGCTGTGGGTTCCATTCCAGCTTCGTCCTGCCACATGTCACAAGGAATTTAACCCCAAGTTGGCTGTCAATGTGGGCAACTTTCGGAGGCTCTATGAGGGCCCCTTATTACTAGAAAAATGATATATAAGTTAATTCAGTCTCTCTGTTACACAGAGTAGTGAATAATTCTCAAGCAGACGGATAATGATGATGGTTTTCACTTTGTCTGGGCGATTAATCATTTTTGAAAAATCTGGATTTTTTTTCATCAGTCCTCTCCTTGGGCCTCCATAGCTCAGATTGACATGGATTAATCACTGTTTGTTCATAGATGTTTACTCATAACCGATAAACTAGCTCGCTTGTTGTGAAAAAGGATTGTTCACAGATTTGGTTTCGTTGCCATTTAAATTATGGTCACTTCCTAGTTGAGATGATTGAAATCAAATCTAATCTTTGAAGGAAATAAAAGTTATTTCTCATTTTTATTTTGAATATTAAAGGTATAGTTTAGTTAGGTATAGTATAGTTTAGGTATAGTTTAGGATTTTCTTGGATTTTTGAAAAGATCCTCCCTCTCCCCTTGAAAAAAAAAAAAAATGCAAATGCACCACCCTGTACCCGCTCCACAGAGGCAACGTCTATTAAACGAGTGGAAGAGCATGCGTGAGCCCATTCCTACTCGTACACGCTCTGTTCAAAACATGCTGTTTGCATCGCTCATACAAGCTTACTTTCCAAAAAAAGATTTGCAATTTTTTCACTATGTCAGACTCACCATCGGTAAGGGAAAATGGGGACGAGCACGTAGGACGGCCTTAAATAAACATACAGTATGATTGACAATTAGTAGGAGCACTTATTTTGATGATCCACCTGGTATAGTAGAAACATAGTGTACTGTACCTTTAAGTAAAAAATAAACATTAATCAGATTTGGTTGGGGAAAAAAAGGGAAGATTTGAATTTTGAAGTCACTAGCTTTGTTAAACAGAGCTTAGTGGCCATGAATCAAGTCCTTCCTGACTTTCAAATAGAACTGAGTCTGAACTTTTGACTGCCGCATCATTCTTGGGTTATTGTCTTGTTGGAAGGTGGACCTCCAGCACCGTATTTTGCATGGCCTGTATCTAGCTTTAGCTCTGAGCAGCTTTCCTGTCCCTGCTGAAGCATAAAAGCATAATGCTACCAGATTTGCATCTTGAAAATAAAAATTCACAAATTTTATTCTTAAATAGTGCATTCCGCTGCAGAGGTACAAAAATGAAATGTACGCAAAAGCTTAAAAAAATTAAATTTACTTCAACCAGAAACCTCTGCATGAAACTTTGAGGCACTGCATGGCTACTTTGCAGATTTTGTTTTGCTGTTACATAGATCCTCCATCACATCAGACTCTAAGAAATATCTGCATTGGTTTTAAAACGGTTAAAAAACGATAAGAATCGATGTAAACTGCACATTAAACATATTATATAACAGTCTGTTTATGACGGTGTGCTGATTCTGTGTGGCTGGAATCAACCTTTCATCTGATCTCAGAGGGCATGATGCTTACATTCTTCCTAAAACGACTGAAAGGATAAAGCACGCTCTTGGTTAAACATCAGTCTGTGTGCGCGGAGGGTCAGCTCTGACAACTGTAATGCGTCTTTGTGCCCCTGATCCCACGCTGTTGGCACCGAGTCAGAAGAGAGAAAACAAGGGCTCGTCTCAATGCTTTATTTATTTATCTGCTGCAGTCCTTCCCATCAGCCCCCGGAGCCTTTATCAGCCTTCATCAGACTCTAAAAACAATCATGCCGCAGCGCAGGGCCCTGCTTTCTCATTTGTCCCACGCTTACCGAGGCTCCTTGCTCCCAATCAGCATTTTTTGAGCTTTTCCAGATGCTTCTGTAAATGCAGACAGGGGCGGCACAGCAAGCTGTGAAGGTGACCAGCTCCTCAAAATCAGAGAATGAAGCTCAGCAAAAACAAACGTTTGAAAGAAACTGTTTATTTCTCTGTTACTGAAATGAAGCGTGCTGTATTTTGATGGAGGCTTTGTGGAAACTTTATGAACTCAGGGGAATGGGAACAATAAAAAGAACCTCTGAGGGAAAAGACACCAACTGTAATTTCTCCAGTGCAGACTATCAGAATCTATGGCTGACATGTGGGATGGCGTCCCAATACCAAGCTAATCTTTTCAATCTGCAGAGCGGACCAGCAGCAAGTATTTTAAAGGGTCGATCCCTTTGGATATCATGGAGGGAGCAGAGCATGATCCTCGCAGTTGTGCTTAGATAAGCAGATTATCCCTGCAGCTTGTGGACTTAAACATGAAGTGTGAAGTAGGACTGTTGCTTGGGCCTCTGTGCATCGACTGATCGCTGGCTTTGCCCCGGGGCGACAGGCTGTAGTTTACAGAAGCAGCTTTGCACCAAGTGCTGGAAAGAAATTAGATTCTCTGCCAATGATTACAGGACGTGTTTATAAACTTGGCTCTTAGAAAACCTGAAGCAGTCTGGTGAATTGAAGAGCAGTCACAAGGTGATCAAAAGAACATAAAATACTTTTAAATGTGTACTTAAAAGGAACATGCTAACGAATAGAAAACCTTATGTTTATCTGTTGCATAAAAATCACAAGAATTGTTTTTTTTTTAGAACATTTTACACTTGCAAAACAGTCGGGGCTGTTTGGTGAGTAAACTCAGTTTGCAGAGCTTCTGATGTGTCATTACTCTGATTCCCCGGTTAGAGATGTTCCATAAAGGCCTTGGACGTTTTTCAAAGAACATTAGTGAACAAATTTCATCAGAGGAGGAGTTTAAAGCAGCGTGAGGTTATAAAACAGTATCCCAACCTTAGAACATTTAACAGAAACTCCATGGAAACTGGAAAGAGGGTTGCAGAGTTAAAGGGGTCATAGAATGATTCTATAGGGTATTTGGTGCTGGTCCTTAAGGTTTCTGAATAGGGTGTGCACCATTGGTTGGGCTGAAAATTGCATGTTTGCTGTTCTATGAGCCCCAATGCAAGCCTGGTTATAAGCCTCAGAATGAAACGACAGGTTTTCTTCCTTTTATGGTATGATCATGAATATTTAGATGTGTGCTTATTGGTTGGTTTTAAAACGAGTAAAACTGCTGAGCAAAGACGCATCATAGCAACAAGTACTCACTCACTGAAACATCAAATGGTTAATATGGTACGGTGACCAGACGTCCTCTTTTTCCCGGACATGTCCTACTAAAAAAATGTCGGGGGGGAATTTCAAAATCATCCAGGATTTTGGTCGACTACAGTGCAGCACTTAGTCGAAACAGGGAGCCAGTGGGGGACGGAGCCACCGAACCCAGTGACGGTAGCCTGGACAGCGGTGGCCCCGTGCTTGCCCCCGCCTTGCAGCACGGTAAGGCAGGCAGGGGAAGCATACTGTCACCGGGTCGGGTTTGGTTGCTTCGTCCCCTGCTGGGACCCGGTCCGGTCCAGTCAGCGCCCTACCAGAAACCCCAATCTGGTCACCATAGATATGCTAGCATTGCTATCAACAGCTTAGTGACAGGGGTCTTCTGATACACAAACATAATCCATACCTGTCGAATCTTCAGGAAAACTGTGAAAAATGTCCCCTTTCTCCATGCAGCCTGGAACACTGCATTTATGCCCGTGGTTCTGGCTCATTATCAATAGGGAAACTGCCTGCTTTGTAATTCTTGTAGAAGTAAACCCAACTATAGGCTAAACAGCTTAACTGGTGTCTTACATCTACCTCTATTCATGTTCTTGGGCCGTGAACCAGTGGGCTGGTCTGTATGTAATTTTTTGGGCACGACAAAAGTACAGGCTAGAGCCAAATAAGGCAACATCCCAGAGTTTACGTCAACTCGGTGCTTCATTTGAATCCGCCCGTTATAAGGTGGAAGTTTAGAATTATGAGATTTACAGATAAAGGAGGTGTCGATGGGGTTTGAACTTCTCTGTGCGTCCATTTCACCCACTGAACTATTGTTATTCATCTATGACAATGTAAGCTCGGTTTTGCATTCTATGACCCCTTTAAAGCCAAATCAAGACATCTGAATTAAGAGCAGCCAAAAAGATCCACAAAAACTATGAAGGACCAGTAGAGATCCACAGCTCAGGACTATTAGTTGTGCCGTTCACAAGTTTGAAAAGATGGTTCATTTGCCCAAAAGACCAGGTAGGAGTCAGAGCCAACAGTAGATGTTCTTGTCAGATGAGAACAAATCAAACATTTATGGGCTACATGTTGAATCCCTGTTTGCGATTCAAAGCGAATGCTTAAAATCATCCAGTAAAACATGTTGGTGGCAGCATCATGCTATGGGTAGGCTTATATTTGGTAGGACCAGGAAAGCTGAAAATTTCATATGAACCTATTATACTGTTCAGGTGTGAGGGGTGAGTAGATACCCCAAAATTGTACTTGAGTCAGAGTAGCACTACTTCAACGAGTACAAATAAAAAGTAGGCCAAGAACTTGTAAAAAAAGTATTTGGTATTTGTTTGGAAATGTTGCAGTCAGAGAGACTGTATGTGCAAGTTTTGGCATTTTAGATGCATGAACAATAATAATAACTGATGATGATAATTACAGACAAACAAATTCCTGTAGAGGAAATACTTTTCTAAATCTAGATTTTACAGCATGAAAATTATTAAATCAAACCTTGCAGTGAGAATTGTTTATATGTTAGAAAACAGAGAACTTCAACTGACATTATCTACTGTTTACTGTCATAGTAGACAGAGAAACCAAGGAGTAGTGATGTACAAGTACGAAGTACCGTACAGTTAAAATACTTCTAGGAGTACATTTTATTCAAAACATGACTCGAATAAATGTAACTATTTCCTACCACATCTGTCAGGTGTTTACCTCCCGACCCACCGCCCACCACGGCCCTCACCTGTGTGTTGCGGTGCTTCCCCTGTGAGCCGACCTGGGCTGGCAGTCCCTTTTTGCACCGCCCGCCAACACCGCCCATGGTCAGGATGACGCGCTCCAAGACGTTCCAGGCATACCTGCCGAGCTGCCATCGGACGTACAGCTGCATCCATTGCCGAGCTCACCTGGCCAACCACGACGAGCTCATCTCCAAGGTAAGCAGATGCAGCGCCGGCCCCGTTCCACTTTGGTTAACCTTGCTGCCCGACGACTGCTGCCTCAGAACAACATTTTCAAAGAACAGGATGTGAATATATTTCCTTTACAAGCAGAGATTTTAAGCAAATTGAAAAAACAAGCCGCAGGTTTTCCACCTGTAGGTGTGTATAATCCACCATCACACTGCTGCACGTGGATGGATTATATTAAAAGCTGGAAACTGAATTGGATTATGGATGCACTGTTATGAAGACTGGCTCACCTGTGCTGAGAGGCTTTTCGCTGAGCTGCACTAAACAGAGCAGTTTAATGAGCAGCTTTGGTTTACAGGAAACATCGACCCACCCCGATGATTCTGCTAATGCTTATGGTGGATTGAATGTGTTTTTCCTGCAGGTTTCAGAATACTTAAGCATTTCTCTAGTTTTTATTTTAGGAGCTGATGTCTCATATTGTCGACTTTTTTCTCTGCAGTCGTTCCAGGGCAGCCAGGGCAGAGCTTACCTGTTCAACTCAGTGTGAGTACCGATCCCAAATCACATCTCACAACATCTGTTTGGAAAAAATAAGTTATTGAGAAGCTCTTATGCTTCTCAGAGTTAAGATAAAGGACTGATCTGCTTCCATCAGGCTACTGAAGCATACGCTTCCTTATTAGATGCTTGTGAATCACCAGCCCAGCTCTGTTGGAGGCAGAGACCTTCTAATTAAAACTTTTTCCACTCTGTCTCTCAGGGTGAATGTTGGGTGTGGCCCTGCAGAGGAGAGAGTCCTGCTGACAGGCCTGCATGCTGTGGCAGACATCTACTGTGAGAACTGCAAGACCACTCTGGGCTGGAAATACGTGAGTGTCCTCGGCTGATCCCAGGTCTAAGTTTAGAGGAGGATAAAGTGGAGGAGTTGTTCTTAGAGTGAAACCTGCTTTTATCTGGAGCACAAATATTTTTGGATGGCTCCTCTCTGAGGGTCGATGCTGTAGCTCAGCTGCAAACTGACAGATGGAGGTCAGATGTTTCTTCAAGGTGTGATTATTTTTAAATACTTTTTTTTTCTGAATTTCCAGGGAACACAGTGAAGACAAGTGGCTCACAGTATATTCTGGATTTTGTCCTGATTTATATCTTACATTCAGGAAGCATGCACAGTGGTCTTAAATAGATCTCTGGGCTTAAAATTATGTTTTTCTTTACTTTTAGAGCAGTTCCTGACAACTCCAGGCTGATTTATGTCATTCGATGCTGATTAAAACCTTTGTTCCACTCTAATCTCAACCATTAGTTATTTCGGTTTGCTTTCATCAGCTTTGTGCATCTAGAGACTCAAATTCTGTCTGTTCTTTCTTTGCAAAACAGCTCAAACCAAACCAGATACAACTGAGAGCTTCTATGAACATTGGTTTGTATGTCTTGCAACAAATTCTGAAATAGCTGAAGTTCTAGACTTTGACTAGGCCTTTCTGGCTCATGTTTACTTTGAAATAAAGCTATCCACTGGAGCTCTGGATGTATGTCAAGAGCTGTTGTCCTGATGAAAGGTGTCTGGTCTGAGGTCCCCACAGCATGATGATACCACCCCCGTGTTTCATCTTGGAGATAGTATGTTATGGTTGATGTGCAGGATAAGCTTTTACACATAGTGCTTTGCATGTAGACTAAAAAGTTTATTTTTGGTCAAAGTGGTGCTGATTTGAAGCGCAAACTGAACATTATGGGCGTCCTGATACAACTTTTTCATTTCTGATATTGCAGCCTATAGTATTGACTGGTATGGATATTTTGATTTGATATGATTGACTTTATTTATCTCACAGTGGAGAAATTGACTCATTAGATCGGGTAAAATAGTCAAAGGAGAAGAATAATGACTCAATATGATATTGGTATGAATCATATATACTTATCTTGCTTAGATTATGGTGTGGAATGATAGGAAAGGCTTGATCAAGTGATATTTCTCAAAACAACAGCAATAGGTGTGAGAACAATAGATGTGATCGTTTTCTTGTTTACGAAAAAGTTAAATGAAATTTGAACCAAAGACCCGAGATTTTACAGGCAGCCAGATATATTCTCGTATGAATTTTTTAACTGATATCAGGCTGATTTCCAATATCAGTATTGGATCAGGACGGCCCTAAGGAACATCATGCTGCCGTAATAATAATAATTATAATAATAATAATAATACATTTTATTTAAAAAGGCGCCTTTCTGGACACTCAAGGTCACCGTACAAAAGCATAAAAACACAGTGTCAGAAAAATTTTTAATAAAAACATTTTAAACAGGTCCAAGGATGGGACAGAAAACTTTTGACTTACCAGAAAACGTCCAAAGAAACACTTTCAAAGATCTCCTAAAGAACATTTTGAGGATAAGTTTGGTTTATTTCCCTTTAACATTCTTGCCTTCCGAATTTATGCATTCAGTGAGATATAATGCGGTTACTGCTTCCCGTTAATGAATTCCCTAAAGGACCAGTGGAAACTGTTGATTTTTATTAATAATCATTGGGGGATATTGGCTGAAAAACCCTGAGTAGTTATCAGTAAAGGCTGCCGGGGTCAAATAAACACAAACATGGCTCCTATCCCCTATCCCCAAAACAAAACATTAAAACAACTTAAATACATCGATTCATTAACAATAAGTTGCAGGTTATTCAGTTAAGAACAGAGAAACAGATTAGGTTTTTGGAATAAAATAAAATCATACAACCAGACAGCCAAACTACACTCTGATACAAAAGTGAATTAGAACTGACTACATAATATAATACAGCAGCTGCTTAATAAACGCTGAACTTTGCTGCTTATATTTAGGATTAAGCTGTGATACTAAAGGTGGAGGAGTTATTTAGGTCTGAACCGGATGGACTGTTTAATATATCAGTAGAGCTAAACATGTGCAGCTGTCAACCCTTCTTAACATGCCAGGGGGAGTTTAGACTAAAGTGCCGGCGGTCGTTTCCTTAAAGGGTTAAAAAGGGACACTGGCGTCCTTGTTGGTGGATTGAGAAGGCTGCATTGATCCAACCTCCTACTATAACAACCACAGCTCCAAGGCTGAAGTCCCTTCAACTTTCTTATGGCCTTAAAAAGAAATATTTTCCTTATGTCTCTGTTGAACACTGGGGTAAACCAATGTTAAAAGCAACTTTCTCCTCAGAAGTTTCTATTCCTGGCAAAGACCCACAGTCTAAAAGCAGGGCTGCAGCCGTGGAGAAAAAGCTCTTAGGTTCGACCTGCTGCACTCCTGGAAGGAGAAATTGGAGATTAGGCCTCTGCAGCTCAAAATCCAAACTAATCAACGACAGAAAAAGACACATGTGCTTAAGTGTTTTGGACTCCAGTTACATTTATGTTACTTTTTTTCTTACAGTTCTTTCATGATTAAAAATAAAGGTAACGTCCAAAATGTTAATGCAGTTTGTTCTGTTTGGCATTTATCTATTTTTTTCTCCAACAAAAAGACAAGCTGGACTAATTAACCCTTTAAAGCCTGAACCAGGAAATAATTGAGAGAAGATTCTACTTTTCCAAAATTAGAATTGTCATTGAACTTTGTGAGAAATGAAATAACTATATAAATTTTGTAAAAACTTTAAATTACATCATTTATTTGCATAAATTTTGATATATTATGCATTTCTATATCATCTTTTATATGTTTTCTGTTTACTACATGTGTCTGATTATGTAAGTCAGGGTTTCAAGAACAAAAACATCACACTGATGATGCAGAGGTTTCAAAATCTCCTCTATCAAATATGATCCACTTGGCTTTAAAGGGCTAATATGCTAATATGATACCCTAAATAAAAGTTAATGTAACCCATTGGCTGGAGGAAGTTGAGTCATACTGTGTGTCATTTAATCTTTTTTAAAGGCCTCAGAGGTTTGTCAGTAAAATCCTGTAAAGAAATAGTATCATTAATGTTGTTAGGTGAAGATGATGCACGCTAGATCACGGGACAATATTTCAGACTAAAACTCTCACAGAGCTTAGTTAAATCCCATGCATGATGATTCCCACAACACAGCTCCCATAAACCTGTTTCCTCTGTGGTGAAACATGGCAGTGGCAGCATCATGGTGTGGGGAGGTTTTTTATTTTTTATTTTATTTTTTTAGCAGAGACAGCTAAGCTGGTCAGGTTATATGAAGATAGTTTGCTCTAAATGCAGAACAATCTTATGAAGAAGCTGCAAAAGGCAAAAGCCAGAGGGACAATGGATCAGAGATTCATGTGTTCGAATGGACCAGTCAATGCTTTAGCTCAGCTAAGAAATAAAAAAAGAATGATTATCTGTAGCTGTCCAAAGCTGATGACCCCAAAAGATTTGAAGATGCAATTCCTGCAAAGTTTGTTTTTATAAAGAATTGGCTCAGCAGGGCACATTTTATTTGAAATAAAATATTAAATCCATGCATTTCTTTTTTTACAGTTTTACAGCTAGTGTTCACCACTTTGCGTTGCTGTGCCACATAGAATTGGATCGATGAAATTTCAATGGGACAAAATGTGGGAAGGTCTGAATATTTCTGCCAGGTGCTGCAGTTCTGGATGAATTTCGAGCTACTCTCAGGCTGAAAAACATGTTTCAGCCTGCAGACGCGCAGCATTTGGAGCGATTATTTTCAGACCCCCAGGCCATGGTTAAAAACACCCTTCTGTCACGAGATGCAGCGTAATAGCAGGCATATATACACAGCCAAAAAGGTGGCTTTTAAATACAGCTGAATTTTTTAAACTGCTTGAGTCTGAACTTGATGTGATTTAACCCTTTGAATGAGTCGCCGTCTCCTTTCCTCCCTCCAGGAACACGCGTTCGAGAGCAGTCAGAAGTATAAAGAGGGGAAGTTCATCATCGAGCTGGCCCATATGATCAAGGACAACGGCTGGGATTGAGGGGAGAGCAGCTGAGTGACGACCACATCTGAGGGAAGGAATGGAGGCACCGGGTGTTGAGGGGGTGTTTGTGTGCGGTGGGTGAGTGTGTGACTTTGGTTTGGCTGGTTTACCATTAACCTCTGTAACTTACTGCCCATCCCTTCCTAACCACACACACCTCTTGATGTACACACACGCATTACGCGTCGTAACAACCACCGACGTCCCAGACATCCCAGCTTGCCAGGAGGAAGGACTAGGCTGCATCCCAGCTAGCGGGACTAGATGACTGGCCAGCAATAGCTCATCAGACAAGATGTTACGTTTTGGTTTTAGTTTTATAAAACACAAGCTCTAAAAATCAGCTCCGCAAAACGTTCTCTCTGCTGTGTCCATTATTCTGCCTTGTCTGAAAACGCTGCAAGGTGTCCATTGGCTCAGGCCGGCGGTTTACTTTGGTACTGGTTAAAAATGTTCACCTCTGTGTCCCCAACATGAATCAGGTGTGACGGGAGATTAAAAAAAATTACTGATCAGCTGAGGTCTGGGTCTGAGGAGCCCAGACATGCAGGCTGTAGGACAGTTCTGTGTGCAGAGATTGCCCCCCACTGGGCTGCTCCTTTGAGACGCTGATCTAGATCCAGTTACATTGCTGCTTAAATGGCTTCTGACTGGAACCCTTCAATGCCTTGCCAGTGATGCAGCCCAGGATTAGCAGGGCGGGGCGAGAAGATGGAAAGATGCAGACGGAGATGCACAAGGTGGTTCCAAAAGCTCTGCAAAAAGCAGCTCCTCTGGGTTATATTTTTGCTAAAAACCTTAGCGTTGTAAAGTGATCAACTGATCCTCCCATCAATGAGGTCCTGCTGCTGTTGATGCATCAATGCTGTCTGGGATTCTGGAAGATCTATGAACACTGTGAGTAAAGGTGATGAGGCTCTGCAAGGTTTGAGAGCAGAGCTAGTGATCGCTAGAAATAGCCCCCCCCTCCGCTGTCATCCAAAAAGCACTAATGCATGACTACATGACCACAGAGGTATGTACTGTCAATGCCTATTTGGACCTATCAATCTTATTTTAATTTTATTTTTTTCAGTCTGGGATCAATGCTGTGAAACTGCTGTTACTCTGATCTTCCATCGCTGTCCTTAAAAAAAAAAAAAAAACATGGAGCAACACTATGATGCAAACTTCCTTACTCACTTATACAGCCGCCATCAAAGGTTACATGTCATCTAAAATGGCCCTGGTTTTAGGTTGGAAAAAAAAAGAAGTAAATAAAAAAAACAATTCAACAGAAAAACAACATCTACAAACAAAATGCAAGATGATCCACCCTCCAGGTTAATACACCAAACTAATTTAAGGCCAATATCTTCTGATTCGATTTTAGCGTTAAAGGAATAGTACACCCAAAACATGATTAGCCTTCATTTTCTACTCACCTCCATGCTGAACAACACTCTGGAGTACTTTTTTGATATCTCAAATGCATCTGGAGATCTGGGAGGCTTCTTGCTGTCTGCTGACATTCAAATAATGGAGGTCCATGGCGCCCGAGACAGAAAGGTCCATAAAAGTCCACAAAAACGTGTCAATATTCCTCCATACTGCTCGTCCAATGTAATCCAAGTGTCCTGAGTGGGTAGCATCCAGAATTTACTCGAAACGAAGTCATTTAGAATGTTTTTAGAGCATAAACAGTAGTGTATAGGATTTCCTAATAGCGCCCCCATGCGCGCTCGCGATTCTACGGAAGCCGGCAGACCAAACCAGCGCATTCAGCTCGGCAAAGAACTCATGCTCTTCCTCAACACTGAAGTCCTCAGACATTTTTCTTTCGTTGTTTCTTTCTTTGCACAGGTAAACAGCACATTTCTTCTTCTACGCTTGCATTATCGGCAGACCAGACGCTGAATGCGCACTTTCTTCCGGTTTGGTCTGCCGGCTTCCGTAGCGTCGTGAGCGCGCATGGGGGCGCTATTAGGAAATCCTATACACTACTGTTTATGCTCTAAAAACATTCTAAATGACTTCGTTTCGAGTAAATTCTGGATGCTACCCACTCAGGACACTTGGATTACATTGGACGAGCAGTATGGAGGAATATTGACACGTTTTTGTGGACTTTTATGGACCTTTCTGTCTCGGGCACAATAGACCTCCATTATTTGAATGTCAGCAGACAGCAAGAAGCCTCCCAGATCTCCAGATGCATTTGAGATATCAAAAAAGTACTCCAGAGTGTTGTTCAGCATGGGGGTGAGTAGAAAATGAAGGCTAATCATGTTTTGGGTGTACTATTCCTTTAAGTCTTTGGTAGGAGTCTGCTTCCCTCATCTTTGCCTGCTAATATTTGCCCATCATCTCTTCCAGACATTCCCCAAATCTATGTGTGTGAGGGCAGTTCATGTGATCTGTTACCTGAGCCAACAGATTTTTCTCCCTATTTAACCATTGCTTTCCAAAACCTGTATTTTCTTCTCACAAGGTCATTTTTGGGTTGACCTGGGTGCAAGTTTGGATCCGCTGTGAAGCAGAAAAACAAAACTGCCCTTTATCTTCAAATTTCTAGTAGGTTCCCTGGAGGATTTGGTTCATACTTGTTTATATTATGAGCTGTTATTGAACCAAAACCTTAATAAAGTTCCATCTAAAGACAATGTACCCCAGATCATAATGCAGCCACTACCATGTTTAATTGTTGGTATGATTTTTTTTTTGTTGTTGTTGTTGCAGAACTGTGTTTTTGTTGAAAATATACCTTTTTTTAATTGTGATTAAAACTTAGGTTTTGATCGCATCAGATCATAACACTTTTCTGTATATATTAGAGCTGCAACTAAGGATTATTTAGCAAATCGATTAATTTGTTGATAATTTGTTCAATTAATAATCAGATAGCAAAAGGTTCCTTAAAGAAGATTTTTTACGTAATTAAATCGGGTTAAACTTAAGAATTTCCACTTAAGGAGTTCTGGATAGAATATATTGACAGATGAAAAAGTTATTCCATCTTAAATGCAAAATGTTAATATATATTATTTATGCGTTGCTCTATCAGCTAAAGGCACTTTTTACTGTCTCTATTCTCCAGTTAACCATTAATCGATTACTAAATTAGTTGAGAATTATTTCAATAATCGATTAATCTGATTAATTTTTTTTCATTCCTAGTATATATGTTTTTTAAAATATGGCTTCTTTTATAAAAAGAAAAAAAGATCTTGGCTCTGGGCAGTTTTCCCTAAATTTTGGTGCAGTGTCCTCTTTTACGACTGCATTTACTGTCCCATTGTGGAGCATATATGATTATATGGATTATTCTCTACCCTTCTTCTGACCCCATAAGATCATTTTGATCCTTTGTAATCTCTACAAACAGCAAATTAAGCTAAAGCATTACAAATTAGTAGATATCAGGGAAATCCAACTAGGAATCTGTATTTTACTTTGAGTTAATCAAATTCAGAGAAATAAATGATAAAACTGCATAAAAAATTCACACATTTGTGCTCACATTTGCAACCAGGTTAATTCTTTTTCACATCTCCCCCCAAATAGATCTGTTTTTCTGTTGAATTGCACATGATACAGAGATAAACAACGGCAGGAAAAGGTTTTGGGATCTTTTCTTTTGATTTGTTTTCCCATCCCCAAACCCTGGCACTTTGACTGGCATGCATACACTGGAAAAAATCGAAATCTAGATAAGTCATGTTTTTTCTTAAAATAAGTGCATTTGTTCTTGAATTGAGGAGATAAACATAACATTTTGCCAATGGAACAAGATAATTTAGATTTAAAATAAGAAAACACAATTGCGTTGTCTTATTTCAAGTGCATATTATCTAATTATCTTATTTTAATAGTAAAAATACTCATTCCATTGGCAAATTTCATTTACCTATTCAAATCAGGGGTAAATACAGTTAATTCTAGATCATTTTTCTAGTGTACTATTTCCAAAAATAACACTGCTTCTGTTGTGTTATCCGCATGTCTGTTGTTTGGAGACTTTATTTCGTAATATATAAGCTCCCATTTCTAGGTTCTTTGATCCTAACTTTCTTTGCTAAGGCCAGGCCACCCTTCTAGATGCGCTGTATTTGCGTTGAAGGAAAAGGAGATCATCAACGAATGCCTGATCCATTGAATGAAGGGTACATCGCCACATGCATAATATAAAACTGACTAGTTTTGTGTCCTCGTCACATTTCTTGTGAGAACATTGTGTTTTGCAGTGAAACATTGTGCCGTGATGCAAAATCTAATCAGTTTGATTTCGTCCATTTGAGCTGTGAAATCGATTTGCAGATAAAATCCGATCCTGGTTTAGAGGAAATAAAATTAGTTTGTTTTTCACAGACGTGCAGACATTGCTTCAGAAGTTGCCCTGCAACTAGTGAGCTCTCTCTCTCGTTTCCAACCAAACCAAACTTTTGACTCTTCAGTAACTCGCAGCAGCTGAGGGTCTAGCTGGAGGCTGCGACATTAAATCCAGCACAACCAAAGAACCCACCCATCAACAGTTAATTGACCAAACAAAAGATTTAATTTTGCTTGGACATGTTGCAAAACAAGAGGGTGTGTATTTAGTTACAAGCCAAGTTTGTGGATAGCCTTTCTCTGTGATATATGTAATGCATTATGATTTTGTAAAAAAAATAAATCTTAATATATTCTATTTACGCTATTCATCATGAGGATTACTGTTCATGTCAACCTCTGTGTTACAGATTGTAAATAGTGTTAATGTATTGTGTTTATTCTATGATCAGTGTGATGATGAATGAATATGATTTTAGGTCGTGTCACGCCTTCTCTCTGGTACCCCACATTGGCTGTACAATACTACTTTTTTACTGATGACATTTTAACATATTTTGTAAAAGCAGGATGCTGATGTTGACTATATAATTGGATCTTCATCTAATAAAATGCACCTTAATGTCTGTATGTATTATAGTCTTTCTTTAGGTGTTTTTTTATGTTTATTTTCAATTTTAATGCAGGTTATTTTAGAGTTTCACAATCAGAATAAAGTTTATTGCACTTACAAGGAATTTGACTTGGTGTTGATGGCGCAGATGAGTATGTTGTGGATAGGGTGGCCAGATGTCCGGCTTTAGGGCGGACAGTCCGGATGTTCATTGCACTGTCCGGCGTCCGGCGCTGCACCCAGCCGGACGTGTATTTGTCCTCCTTTACCCCCAGATTCCACATACTCCGTCAGCGCTCCGCCCCGCTCACGTACGTCGTGCAGAGTACTTGTCTGTCATGTAAATCAATGAGAGCTGTTCCACATCCTCCGCTCGTCACCGCCCACGTACGTCTTCTCCGTCCTTCACCGTCAAAATACGGAGCTGAGCTATTTTTTGCTCCCCTCCGGTCCGTCCAGATCAAGACCTGCTATTGCAATCGCACCAAACAGAAAAAAGAATGTAGAGAAGACCCGGTTTGTCAAATTAAATTATAGTAAAAACAGATCGGTAACTAGAAATTAGAGCATAGTTCGTATATATTCCCAAAAACTAAGAGCAATTAATTAAATAAGTTGATGCAGACTATTGGTGCTTCAACAGACCAGGAAGAAGTTGTGAGATTCTAGAGCGCATCTCACAACTTTAAAAGAAAATTCTTATTGCAGGAATGGATGAAGAGATGATGAGTTTGGAAGCAGAGAATAAACAGAGTTCATACAAACTATGTATGATCCTAGTTATCCTTGTTACAAAAATCCACAACAGAAAGAAAATATTTGGGCAGCAACTGAACATCTGCTGGATGATGATGGGGATTTTTTTAATATGTCAGATTAAATTAAGCGTTCACAGGTTTTATACAGGAATGAGGAACTCTAATTTAATGCTCTTTTAATGCTATTAGAAATAATTTTAATGCCATCAACAAGTATCATGTACACAAGTTATTAGTTTACATGAAATAAGGAGCTGTAAGCACAGTTCCATGACTCAAGTTTATATATATATATATATATATATATATATATATATATATATATATATATATATATATATATATATATATGGATAGATAGAGAACATGGTGAAATCATCTTTACTCTCAACAGGCTGCAGCCATGTCATGAATTCCTCTTTTCCAGCCACTTTTTGCAGTTTGCATCGTCCTATTCTCTAGCTCTTTCTCGAGCTTCTTTTCCAAACAACTGCTTTATGATCAATTGCAGCAGTTCTGCGCAAATTAATCGTGTTAAAAAATGGTCACTTTTTAAACACCACAATGTATTTAATAAATACAAATGC